GAAATTTGTTTCGTAGAAATTTGTTCAGCTACCAACTTCTTTCTTTCTTTCTTCTTTCTTTTCAACAACCTGAAGAGAGATCTTTCTTTCTTTTCAACAACAAAGAAAACCCAGACTCAGAACAACAATTCGTAGATTACACAAAATGTCGTTTCCATATTGTGTACTAATTCCCGAAAATAAACATGGCAAATATCCCGTTTATAATAACTTATCACTACTAAACATACTTAAATGATTAATTATATTTGTTTATACAAGGAAATCTTTTCAGATATTTTTACAAGTCGGTCTTTACAGCTAGAGGGCGCTTGTATATTAAAATTAAACTAAAACTAAAATTATTTGTTGATATGTGGGTAGTTCATTAAAGAAAATGTAAGGATCTCGAGCTTGTGTGCCTGTTAACACATTTAGTTCAGTAGGTATGTTTTAAGTAAAATAAAATTCTCTGTGAGAATATAAACACGAACCGCCTTAACATGCAATTCACATTTTATTACGCTAAATAACTAAAGCCCTATAAAATAGATTTTGAACTATAAACAAAGCGATAAGTGAACAAAAAATCATATATAAATTATTGTAATAATTACACATATGTTATCTTAATGGGATATTAAAAGTTAACGGACGTCGTTTGGTGGGACGTGAATTTATTCTATACTAAATTTTGCCCGTGTCTCCGCCTGTGTGTATGTCGGTTACCGCGGAAAAAATATGTTATTTTTCAGGATATACTCGTAAAGTACCTCCAATCCTAATTTCATTAGAATCGGTTTAGCGGTTTAGCCGTGAAAGCGTAACAGACAGACAAACAGAGTTATTTACGCTTCTATAATATAAGTAGGGATACACTATTTATTATTGGGAATATAAATCACAGGGACTGATCATCACAGGAACTGATGGAGGCTACTGAAAGTGCCGAACTCGTCGCCAAATTTTGGGCCGACTCAATTTGAATTGTCATCGACACGCTAAGAAGAAGAAGAAGAATAAAAACTAAATTGCAATGGTAATAAAAGTAATAAATTGTATTTTTATAAAAACCATACTATCAGTAGCATTGATAAAACTCTTCTGAAAATCCATACTTATAAATGTTATAGTAAGTTTGTTTGTTACGCTTTCACGCCTAAACCACTAAAGCTACATTATCAAGTGGTCAAAAGCTAATTATCAATAAAATGGTTTGTATCACGGAACAATAAAACCAAAGGTTAAAATGGTGGAACAATTTTCCCCTGTGTTTTGTTTTTGCTTTTGTTATGGGGCCGGTGTCGCCAATATGTGTGGGTGTGCGTGTGTATTTAACATAAACATTAAAGCAATCTGTTTGTTACGGATAATCATCGCATAAATAGGACACATGACTACATGAGGAACCTCAACTTATCACTTTCACTTGTTTTTTTTCTACCGTCGCTTTAACCCTAATAAAATTCTAATAAAGTTAAAAAATCAAATAAACGAGTTTAGAAAATTATGAAAAAAAAACAAATTTAGTGGTATCACTAGTCTAAGTAGTGATTTATTTAAGTAAACTTATATTTATTATAATTACCCCACTAGGGCGCAGATACATTAGGATAAACTATTTAATAATTTGACGTTAATTCCAACATTTGTTAGAGAGAGACAGACTAATAAGAGTTTTGATTTTGTAAGGGTTCCATTTCTTTTACAAATGGGTCGGGGCTCACGGGTTAAGAATACAGAGTGTCACCACCCATTTTCATCGAGTGGGTAGGAAGAGAATATATATCTACCAGGTTGCTTACTAAAATGTCGCCGCTAGTATTTTCAATTAAATTATTGGTAATTGTTTTTTCGGAAAAAAATATTCTTTGTTTTTTGAATAAAATATCGTCCAATTCACGGCAATATGTATATACAAAGACTCTGAAAACTCACGGTTGCCTTTGCTCATTTGGCCGCACCTCTTCGCAGCCAGGTGTAAACAGGTATGATTTTGATATATTTATACGCTCATAACGTACGTTTAATATTTTTTATATTTATTTCATAACAAAAGTGAAACTTAACATTGATAGAAAACAAATAGCACTAGGAGTCTTCATAGATTTAAAGAAGGCATTTGATACAATTAGTCATTATCTGTTACTAAAAATAATATTGGACATTGGCATTACAGGAACCGCTAATAAGATACTCAGATCTTACCTCACTAATCGTCGGCAACTGGTTACGTACAAAGTTGGCCCAGAGTTGTGCCTTGTGGTATACCTCAGGGTTCAATTCTTGAGCCTCTCTTGTTTCTTATATATATAAATAATATAAAAGAACTCATTAAATAAAATTAAAAAACAAGTGAATGATTTTCTTTTTCCGAAAAATCAATATTAACAATAATTTAATTAAAAATACTAGCGGCAGCATTTTGATAGGCAGCTTGGTAGATATATATTCTCCTAATAATAAATATACGTAAAAATTTTGTTTATAGCAATCACTCGATGAGTGCACTAATTCTGCAGTCGGTTCTCGTACCATGATTACCGACCGCACGGATGGAATAGTATTTCAAGCGGTTTATTTTATTTTATTTTATTTCAACTTTGTTTTATAAACATGACATTACATTCTTTGTCCCCAAAACCCGGGTTGATTGTTTGACTGGGGGATGGGTTACCACACCTTCCTGCTGCTCTGAGTGCTGTGAGTTCGATCCCCACATGGGACAACACTTTGTGTGATCTACAAAATGTTGTTCCGAGACTGGGTCTTCTTTGTATCCGTTTCATGTATCTTTGTAAAGTTCCACCGACACGGGATATATTTCCTTATGTGGGAGTAGTCTTTTAAAAGAAAAATCGAATTACCGGAACCTAAACCCTCCTCTCCCTGTCTCTTTTATTTGTTGACGGGGTGAAAAAACCCTTCGGATCTCCGGCTCCTCGGGGACGCAGGAGCCAGGAGTATGTGGTGTTTCCACTAAAAACCACCCCAACGGCCAGTCTCAGGCACCCTACTCCTAGGAGAACCCGGACCATGTTATTTCAGGTCCCCCCCGGATCGATGCCGCGCCTTGTAAGGCCCTATCCTCTCCCTGTCTCTAGAGGTAGGGTCTCAAAGGGTATCAAAGCAATTTTCCATCCATCATCATTTTTAAAATGAAACAACTCATTTGACGGTTACAAAATTACTAACTGTATTTCATAAGTATTGCCAACATAAAGCAGCAAGGGTGCGTTTTGATACACAATCTTAACATCCCGACTTATCAAAACAAAGTTACAAACTAACCATCATATGTAATGAAATGATACAAACGTTTTTTCTTAGATAATTGAAGATTATAGAATATGCTCTAAGTATAATTTTAAGTTACAATTTTTACACTTAAAATTTCCATAAACGTAATGTTTAACACATCCTAAACTTTTTGTTAACAAATCAGCTGGCATTCTGGCTGTCTTCAAATACTGTAAGTTTACAATTTTATTGTCCACACAGTCACGACAAAAATGATAGCGCACATCAATGTGTTTAGTGCGGTTGTGAAAAACATTATTCGCAGACAGTTTCAGTGCTCCCTGATTATCATTAAAATTTTTAACACTATATACATTATCAGATATTTCTAATAAAATATAACGAAAGTAAATTGCTTCAGTACATGATACTCTGATAGCCATGTACTCCGCTTCTGTGCTTTTTGATTTCTGGAAGACCATGAAATGGCACCACCACAGAGTACAAAGCACACGCCTGAGTATGACCTTCTGTCAACAATGTTGTTTCCCCAGTCAGCATCAACATATTACACAAGTTCAGAGTTACCTTCCCTAGTGTATGTTAAACCAAAGCTATTTGTCTTTTTTAAATATTTTAAAATTCTTTTGGCATACATCCAATGTTTATTTTTAAAACTATTGTTAAACTGACTAAGGAAACTCACAGAATACATAATATCAGGTCTTGTTAATACAGCTAGGCACATAAGACTACCTATTAACTGTTGAAAAGGAACTTGCAAGTTACAATTTTCTTCTTATCCTCTTATCCTCCATTGGAGTATCAAATGTTTTACTCTTAGACATATTAAACTTTATTAACAATTGGTTTATATAATTTTCTTGACTTAGTGTGATAACAGCCTTATTTTTATCCACATTTACACTCATACCTAGACATTGCTTTATAACTCCCATGTTTTTGAGTTTGAAATTAGAAGATAAAACCTGTTTTAAATTTTCTGCTTCTAAGACGTCATTAGAAAAAACAAAGAAATCATCAACATACAGTGTAACAATTGTTTTACAGCCATTATTATTTTTTGTATATAAACAAGGCTCAATTTTAGAACGTTTATAACCCATACCTAATAAACAGCCATCAACCTTCTTGTACCAGGCCCTTGAGGATTGCTTGAGGCCATAAATTGCCTTTTTAAGCTTTAAAACTTTACCATTTGCTTGAGAATTAGGGAAACCTTCTGGTTTTTGAATAAATATAGTTTCATTCAAAAAAGCAGTTGTGACATCAAGATGTGTTATATATAAATTTAATGTTACAGCCAACGCAAACAAAAATCTAAGTGTTTCATGACGCACTACTGTCGAAAACGTTTCATTGTAATCTACACCCTTTTTTTGCATAAACCCTTTGGCAACGAGCCTTGCACGGTAACGCACATTATTGTCACTGTCAAATTTCTTTTTTAATACCCATTTACACTTCACTACTGTATCACGTATCATGTATTTTAAATATTAAGTAGTAGGTATGTCTTTTATCTACCAACTACCTTTTTTTAGCTTTAGTTTTAATGCATGTAAGATTCACATCTAGTAGATGTCAATCGGAAGAATATTGTAACATTTATCATAATGTATATATGTGCGTGAGATTGTACATCAGTTTTGTGAATTATAATAAAAAAATCACTCACTGGGATGTCGACTAATTCCCACGCATTACTATCTTCAAAACACTGAATTGCCTCACTCACAGCCTTCAACCACTGCTCCTTTTTAGGTCCTTTCAAAACTTCTTCTAAACTCACACTCTCCACTGGCATCATCTAGGATTTCTTCAGTGATACACATGTTCGAGTACCCATACCGATCTGGCTTCTTTGTCTCTCTAACAGGTTTGGAAGATCTGTCTTTCAAAACCGTCTCATCTTCACACTCCTCATACTCACTTTGTACAAATGTTGTATCGGCATCATTTAGTTGTGAAGAAGAAGTATAAGTCTCTGTATCGCTGCTTTCCTCAATATCCTCCTCGGTATCTGACTGTCTTTGAAATGATTCTTGAACTGGAATAGTAGCTTCAGTATTTTGTTCATGTTCCATAATTATAACATCCCTGCTGGTTGTCACAGTTTTATTCCTTGGATTATAAATCCTGCCTTTAACGTTATCTGGGTATCCAACCAAAATATGTTTCCATGGTTATCTAAAATGAAACAACCCATTTGACGGTTACAAAATGACTAACTGTATTCATAAGTATTGCCAACATAAAGCAGCAAGGGTACGTTTTGATACACAATCTTAACAAATTTTCCATCCAATTTACCATCAGGTGACCCGTCTGCTTGTTTCCGCATCATACCATAAAAAAAATAGTATAGATTACTGTTTTAAAGAGAGATTGTCTACATTAACTGTGCCTTATTTGTACAATATTTCGCGCCATGACCGATAATAGCAGATCAATATATTATAATCATTCACACCACGTTACGGCAGATGTTGCCCTTCAAATTTGGCACGTCTAATAGGGTTGGCACTTGACGCTCCGAATATTCCATTGCAAACCATTCCTACATTTTAAACCTGACATCAGATTACGTAATATCTTAAAAGTTAATTAACGTTCACATACAGTTCATACAATAATTCCTACTTTAATAAATAGTTCATGTAAAATTCCCCAATTAAATTTATAATGCTAATAACAGCGGTCTCCAAACCATTAGGTATATTCTATAACTAGATGCCCGGCCCGGCTTCGCACGGTTAGTGTACCCATTTAAAAAATAAGACATTTCTTGCAGTGGGTCTGAGTTATGCGCGTACAGTACAGAAAGATAGATTAGGTATGCATAATACATTCGTGTCTGTGAAACTAGAAAAACACATTAGTTTAGTAGTTGACATACCGACAGCGGCGCCACTTACCGAGTCCAATTGTATTTTTAAATCATCCAGGAAACCATCGAAATACTAATATAAAAATTCAATCCAATCGGTTCAGCCGTTTAGAAGTTATGTGAAAAAGATAAGTACGAAAGGATAATTCTTACTACCCGTTGTCCTACTACCCGTTTTCCCGTAGGAATGAAGCTTTTTCCCGCGGTAAAAAGTAGCCTGTGTTCATCAGGGATAAAGTCGGCTTCTAATGGTAAAATATTTTTCCAAATCGGTCCAGTAGTTTCGGAGCCTATTCAATATAAACAAACAAACAAACAATCAAATATTTCCTCTTTATAATATTAGTGTAGATAACTAAAGTTATAATCATAAATTATGATTATTTTACTCACCTATTTATAATAGCGACCAAAAAGGCCCAACGCTAATAAATAAAACGAGAAAAAAATATTCACAGAGCAACCAAAAAAGATGTACATTCAATTATTGTGGGTGTCGATAACCCTAGCAGGACTGGGTGCCCTTGACTTTTTTGACAATGGACCCCGAAGTGCGTGGAGCTGTAGATATATATATATATATATATATATTTATGTTTCCGTTTAGGTTCGTGAGTGTTTTATTAGTGTTGTGTACGGTGTTCGCATATCTTCAGTTCGTGGGGCCCTTTGTTCGACAAATAACACATGTTTACATTTTGTTATTTGCCTTTTGCATCCTGTCCTAGTCCTTATAGCATTGGAATAGGGTTATAGCACCTTCAAGATAGCTATAAAATAAGTCTTGTTTTTTAGTACAGTTTTATTTGAATATGCTGTTTTTGTTCCTTCTTCCTTCCTTCACATTCGACGTAGCGTAGGTCAAGCAAGGCAGCAGTTGTATCCTTGTTAAGTTTAATGTTCATAAAACGTTATTTTTGGTTTTAAGATCATGTTTTCAACGATAATCGATATCGTAGTTAAAATATTAAAAAATTAAATGTGATATATTGAAATAAAATAAAAATAATTATTCAGAGCTACTTAATATGAATACTGTTCTACTCAGTGTTTATGATTTTTTTGATATGATGATTTCATTTTTTTTGTGGATATATGTCTGGAGGCCTGTATGTCAGATAAAAGAAAAACAGAGAGAAAGTGAACAAAAAGGTTAGGGCTTTTGAAATAAGTGGACTGAAAATAGAATTATTGATTAATGAGTAATAAAGATAGTTATTGATTTACTGTTCTATCTTCTTTGCCTAATACGACAAAATAAAAATCCCATCCAAACAGTTTCTTACTCGGTCAATGAAAACCATATAATTATAATAAACTGGTATCATCAAGCCATCACCAAGTTTGGTCGTTGTATGAATTATGAAGTAGCGACGGGGAGTGGACCCTGCAACCTTGTACCACCTAATTTGTGAATAAATCAGTGAACGGTTTACTTGGTGAACATATCTAAATTTTAAATATATTGTCGTTGTAAAATTTCTTCATCGTATTTTCTATAGTTTTTTTAGAATCAATCTTTTACCATGTAATCAAAAAATGTGGTCATACCTAGAATATTTGATTACCAGTTGCTATGCATCAAGAAATTTGCAATATTAGAAACTAATATTGTCACCCTTTCCAATATTTATTTCTAAATATGTTTTAATGTGAGGGTTATAGGCCCACTATCTGTCACCCTAGCAGAAGCAGGCCGGGGTGGTGGCGAGACGCGCTTCGAAGCGCGCGCTCCCTTTCGGGAACACACAGGAGGGGGTCATTTACACGCCGTAGGTGGCCCTAGGTACATCGGGGTATCAGGGTTTTCCTTCCTAGTGAACACCTGGTTCCCCGGCAACTGGTACCCGAGACCGAGAGAACTGGTTCGAGTCCGAAATAACCACCAGTGGGTGGTATCCGAGGAGATTTCCGCACAGAAAAAAAGGAGTTATAGCGCGAACAGGTCCAGCTCCTTCGGAGTAGCTAGTATGCCGCCCTGAGTATGGATGCCGGCAGGCGAGATTAGCCCCCAGGGGGCCTTAGTCCAATCGTTAAGGAGCGACGTCTATGTGTGCAACTACTGCCATCTTGTCAGAGAGTTATACCAAGATGCTGTCCGCAAGCCACTTCCTACAAATGCTAGCACGAAGATTGGTCTGACTAAAATTACATGGAGTATTTTTACCGAAACTAATACCAAGTACCACTACCGAAAACACGGTGATGACGACCAGAGAAGTATCTACACGTTCAAAACAATGGTCTCTGAAGGTTCTGTAAAATAAAAGAAGAACTGATCGACGTCAGTTATCAATGATATTGTACAGCCTTCATCAGGTTATTGACAATAAATATTGCTTACGAAATAAAAGATCAGTATCAAAGCATAATGTATTCCATAGCATGATTGATGAGCCAGCAGGAAAGTAGCAACACGACCAGATCACATGGGTGGGGTCTAATGTATTATTATTATAAGCACGTATTGTATATGTACACGAATTTTATTATAGGCGATTATCATTCGTTCTGTTGATCAGACTTAGAACTTTTCCGTTGTATTTAGAATAACAAGTACCTACTTTTTCTAATTATGACTATGAAATTGTCACCAAATCTGTTGCTAGCTTCATCGTAAGTCTGTGCCAAAACACATATAGGTAATTGAAAAAAGAACAATTAAGATCTCAATGGTGCAGCATTCGAGCATTCGAATGTGATTCGAAATTCAAAATCTTTAATTTGTGTGTTTTGTTTGCGTAATTTGCTCACTGGCAACCCTACATTTGGTATACTATTTGTGTAGTGAGTCATGAATAGCTGTTGCACAGTCAAACGCCGCCCGTAGCAATTGCAATACCAAACTCTTGTCACTCGTTAATTAATAGGTAGGACATAAAATTAGAATAACCACAAACACGGATAGAATATTTGAAATTTCTTGTGATTTCCTGTAAGTAATACTAAAAATAATAAATGTGGGTATTTTTAGACATATATTATCTATAACCTCGAAAGGATTGGCTAAGGCGAACTATGCTCCTCACGGGAACCTGCAAGTCAAAGATTCAAATGCGTTGCCAATCTTTGACGACTCCTTATAATGGTGAAGTGACGCTCTGCGCAAGATCACTGGCAGGAGCTGAATGCCAAAAGCCGAAAATCGATCTAATTGGCTTGCAATGGGAGAGGGCTGTGTCCAGCAGTGGACTGCGATAGGCTGATGATGATGAAGTATAATGTATTGGGGATTAGGCATTTCCGATTAATTCTATATTTTAATTTTGATAGTGCATTTAAATACAACTACATTATACGAGTAGGGTTTGAGCATTATCATCGTTTGCGATTACTAAAGGGTTAAGTTTGAAGGGCTCGCTTGACCCTTTAATGATTAATTTCATTGTAAATTTTTGTCAGGCCACCAGCCACTAACCGTTGTTAATTTTTAACTCATTAAAAATTCCCAATTAAAATCAAGTGTGACCATTGAATATAAAGCGGTGTCGCTGTATGTCTCACATACGTTAGTTGGACAGACATTTAGTATGTTAATATCCCATTGTTCTCTGTCCCGTAATGTGTTGGCAATTAATGCTGGACTGTGCTCCCACGCACCTCGCCATTCCTGACGTGTTACGATCTAGGAGCGTCTGCAGAAAAAGACCTATAACCGTCATTTTGCTGCCGTTTTTGCTTGCCGTTTTTGCTTGCCCATTTTTTCATGATATAGGGGACAAGTGAGCTGTTGGAAAGTGACTACCACCGCTCATGAACGCGTGCAACCAGGAGTCACTAGAGCTTTTCCGGTCTTTGAGAGGGGAGTATGAATATTTCTTTTCTTTATTCGACACAATGTGTCACTTTCAAAGGTTTAATACTTAGATAAACATTATTTGAATAGAGACTGATCTGTTGGCCTAGTGGTTAGTGACCCTGAGTAGCAGTCAGAGGTCGTGTGTTCGATTCCCACCCAGAAAAAAAAATTCTGTGATGAGCACGATTCTGTTCTTTGTCTGGTTGTAATTTATTTATGATATGTATATATTTAGAAATATATAAGAGTTTATCAGCAGGCTGGTTACCACCACCACCTGGCACCTGGCAACAGAAGGCCGTGTGTGAGATGTTGGAGGTTATTATTATAAAAAAGTCAGCGGTTACTGTAAGTAGTAAGTAAGTAGCTATACCTTGGGTTATGTCGTCATAACAGAA